AGATTTTTTTCTTATAAGGGACTGCAAGAAATTTGAGTTAATCGTCTATGACATGTCTCTGAGCTATTTGTACTAGGTCAGATGAGAAACAGCATCTTTAAAGAACCTCCTTATTCGATCACTGCTTGGCATTTCATTTGCCTTAAATGAAATTACCCTTTCCTGGGACTGAGAGACTTTTTGTTCCTTATATGAAATGAAGCTCCATTTAAAGTTCACTTGTGCTGAGGGCCTGCTGAGGGCTCGCTGCTGTTCCGGAGTGGGGATGGGGCAGGAGGGGTGGGGAGAGCAGGGATGCTCAAAGATGAAGGTTGTGGTCTCTTCACACCCCTCACAGCCTTGTGAGGGTCATGGATCCAGTGAGAGTGACAAGAACACATCAGACCCTTGGCATGTTTTAGTGAGTGTATAACTGTGCTGCATGTGACTCAAATTACATTTATTAAGTTCCTTGCAAGTGCTTGCTCTTTCATAGGCAAATTATAGTTCAAGTGGGTTGTCTCAATCTTGTGCAAATGACGTTCATTTTTCATATTAATTGATAAAATTTCTAACCTTAGATCTCTGACTACATCACTAAAGTAATGGCTTTTCTACCTTCCTCTTCAACTAGTTTTGTAGATATTTGGCACAGGAGGAGCCTCTTTTGCTAAATACACAGATGGCCTCACCATTTGTTGATTGAAATTACACTTTTAAGATAATATGCATTTAGATCACTAGGTTTTGGCATATTTGCTTAAAAGCATAGCTCATCATTTTATAGATGAGTCTTATGTGTTGGCAAATTGGCTCAGAAAGCAAAAGGAACAGCTAAAGATGAACGTTAATGTATGGTCACTTTTTCATTTTTTTCCTGTTTCCCATATGTCACTTTTGATCTTCTCCTAGGAGAGCTGTACTATTTATAATGCAGTATGGAGATTACTGAGCATTTCTACTTTCAAAATTACATTTTCCATGGTGTACAGGAATCAAAACTCATTAAGAAAAAAGAAAGCATTCCTTTTTATTTATTTATTTATTTTTTACATTGCTTGATCAAAGCCACTGTCATTTTCACCTTCACATCTATTGAAAATAACCTTTCCTTCTGTCTCCAGGATGTAAAGAGAGAGATCTTTGGGAATGTCCATCCAATAAACAATGTTTGAAGCACACAGTCATCTGTGATGGGTTCCCAGACTGCCCTGATAACATGGATGAAAAAAATTGCTGTAAGTGCCTAGGTGAAACTGTCAACATGACATTTTATTTTAAACACGAATTACCTCTCATTTTGAATATAAGCCTGAAATTTGGAACTATCTATCAAAAGCTTTTTGTATGTTCAGATCTTTTGATGGAAACTCCACTTGTAAAAATATAAACCAAGAAGACAAATGTGTAAAATATATGCATAATGATATTATTCAAGCATTATTTATAACAGGGACAAAATTAGAACCCCCCCAAAATATCCAAAAATAAGGGACAAAAAATATAACCATAAAGTGAAAAAAAATGCAAACATTAAAAATCAAATCAGAAGAATAATTTCTCCTGGGTTCATTATGTATCATTAGATGAATAAAACAAAATATGAAGAATTTATGTGTACTATTGTGCTGAGTTTTCAAAGTACATGTACCCACATACAGAAAAAGATCAGACAGGCATAATAAAGAGCTTACAATTATAAGCCCTGGGTGGTGGAATTATTAAGCTTTTATGCTTTTCTATGTTTTCTACATTTTCTAAATGAATGGCCAGTAGTTTTAGAATCAGGAAAAAAAAATCCTAAGATACATTGCCTACTAGTAACAACTCAACTCAAACTGACTTAAGCAGTGAAGAAATTTATCTTTTATTATCCTATGTATTACATATGCCTTATATCATCATATAAAAAGTCAAGTGTGTATGGATTCTTGAGGTGGATGCTGGAGTTCAGCACCTCTTCTGTGATTCTTTGAGTTGGCTTGATCTCTGGCTGGCTCCCACCAGGTCCAAAGATGGCTGCCAAGAGCACCTGAGACACCATGCTTCCCTGGTCATATCCACTAGGAAGGAGTCAGAACCTTACCCTCATCTCTGGAACATCACTCTGACTGGCCAGCTTTGAGCCAGGTACCAGCTAGTAGTCAGCAGTGTTTGTGTGGATTCCAAAAGACACCACCTAAACAACTGAATAGCGAAAAGAAGTGCCCTTAGGGAGAACCAATTAGAAAAAGATGGCGTTTTAGCCAGGCCACCCCTGTCCCAGGCCAGGACACATGGCCTGACCAGCAGGGTTTGGGCAGGAGATGTCTTGTAAAGCACAACCCATGAAGCCGTAGACCATGACCCTGACCTTGGATCACCTGTTTTCTCCTGGACTTACAATTGTGCTCAGAAAAAAAAAAAATTGTAGTCAGAAAAAAGCCATCTTCACCTTAAACTAACCAGGATCTTCCCCCCAGAGCAGGGGATGGTGTAGGAGCCTGAATAAAATCAGGTTCCCTTAAAAAAGGAGGAAGAAAGAGAAGAGATGCTACGTAGGCAATCAAGGAGTTTCACTATAGTTTTTAAAATCCGAGAATTGGTGTGTGACTCAGAGAGTCATATCATAGTAGAGATTTAAGGAAATAAAATTATCCATAAATGTGGACAGAGCTGGTTTTCACCCTAGAGTGTGACTTCAGTCTGCTCATGCCCAGTTCTCTGCTCACACCCCTTCAGATTTGAGCCTTGTGTTCTAACCTCTGGTATTTCTGCTCCTCTGAGTACCACCGTCTCAATCCTATGGTTAGACCTAGAGAACCTAGTCCCTTGGAGATAGTAGTCTGTTTAAACTCTTGCTGTTTGTGTGGACTGACATCTCTGAAATGAGGTTTTACTGATTCTGTCTTCTGTCTGTCTTGCCACCTGTTTGGAGACCTCATAACCGCATCCTTTCTTCCTCCCACGCTCCTGCTGGCAAACAATGATGTGCCTGTTAGTGATAATCACATTCATTGCTAAAATGTTTCTGTCTCCTCACTTCTTGTTCCCCTGCCAGCATTTTGCCAAGACGATGAGCTGGAATGTGCCAACCACGAGTGTGTGTCACGTGACCAGTGGTGTGATGGTGAAGCCGACTGTGTAGACAGTTCTGACGAATGGGACTGTGGTGAGCTTGTTTCTGCCATCTGCTCTCTGCTCTAATGCCTGTCAGCCATTTAAGCTGAGTGAATCCTAAATGGCTTCACGGATCTTACTAACCAAGTTCATCTATGTTGCTTTACTATTATAGAAGCCGACAGTGGTGATTCATGCGTGTTATTTCCAACTCACAGAACACTTCCCCCCAAGTTACTTCTCTATTTGAAATGCTTATATTATATGTAAAAACATTTGGGTTCAAATTGTTATGACCATATACATTTTTTTAAGCAGAATTCTATCTTTATTTTTTTAACTTATTTTTTATTGACGTATTGTCAGTTATGATGTGTCAGTTTCTGGTGTACAGCATACTGTTTCAGTCATACATACACATACAATAGCTTTTCATATGAATATAATTTTTAAAACTCTGTTGTCCCCCAGCTTCAACAATTATCAGTAGTCGGCCTTTCTTAGATCACTGACACCTCCTGAAACAGAATATTAAAGGGACCCTTCTATCTTTCCTGTATTCTTGCTCCAGATCCAGATGAGACGCTCTGCTCCCTTACACGGACAGGACTTAAATGCATCTCCCACCTTTATCCCAATGTTGCAGTTTATAACCTTGAGTTTGATTTATTCTGTTGTCCTACCCTCATCCCTCCTGCCATTCACTTGGCTCTCATTTCAGTCCTTTGCATCATCTGGCCAAGTCTTGATCACGGTGTGTATTGTCATTAACTGCGCATTGTTTCCACAAATAATCTGTGGTGGATGAAGCACAGAGGATTCTCTTCTATAAAATAGAAATTAGTATATATGCCAAATGAATCCTAAATTAACATCACTCACACACTCGCCTTCTCATAGGCTTTCTTGAAAGGAAATGATTTGAATGAAGTTACAGCTAGCTCCTTCTAAGTATGCGAATTATTGGGTAAACTCATGGGAATGGGACCTGCCTCTGGCTGTCTTCTAACTTATAAAGTTAAGAACTGCCTATCTCTTTCACTGGAGCCTATGGTTCTTGTAGGGCAGAGAACACATCAGATTCATTTTTTAGTCCCCCATCACATGGAGATCAGTGATTTGCACAGGGTGAGAATTCACCAAATGGTTCTTAGCTAAAAGAAATAAAAATGCATGCTTGCAATTAAAGCAAAGTCATGTAAAGTTGTCATTTGGTTTCATGAGAAGAGATGTTTTAAATTAGGGTTTTCTTTTTTTTCCCCCCTCAGTGACCCTCTCTGCAAACGTGAACTCCTCTTCACTCCTGACTGCTCACAGGTCTGCAGTCGAACACCATGTGTGTGCAGATGGCTGGCAGGAGACACTGAGTCAGCTGGCCTGCAAGCAGATGGGTTTAGGGTAAGGTCAGTAGTTTGTAGCACTGATGGATTTCTCAGAGGGCTTCACAGAACTTGGCAATAATATCTTCCTTATGAATGTAGAGTGAGTTAGTGCTCTCAAATCGAGCCCTCCAAAGCACGGGAAATGAATCAGGTGAGAGGACTGTATTAAATTACAGACACCTTCTCTGAAGAGTGTGGGTTGAAACCCTACTTTGATAAAGCCTCTGAAAGTAAATGAAGTAATTGTATTTTAAGTACTTCTGAAATGAAATGCTTTTATTATTTATAAAAGCATTAAGATGGTTTCTTCTGAGGAAACTGGATGGGAAAGATCTTGTGATTTCCCCTCAGGAGGCTATTGAAAATTCCTTTTTAAGCAACATACATTTTTTAATAAGTTGAGAAGTAGAACTTGAAGTTGCTGGCTTTTCAATTTATCCTATGTAATGCAGGAAATGTAAATCAGGAAATTGTTCACCATTTTGCTTCTTCATAGAATGAAAAGACACTCACTCTCGCTTTGATACAAACACACTGAAATCAATACTTTGAAAGGTGGTTACTTGCTGTGGGGTTTTCTTTTCCAGGGCTGGAAAGCAATAACTGAAAGGTCTTAGAGTATATATGTGAGAGTGTGTGTGTGTGTACACACACATAGGTATATATATTTTTCTTTCACCAATGATGCTTGTGAGATTTGGGGGAAACATAGAAATGATAGAGATAAAAGATCAAAGGGTTCTAAAATTCTAGCACAAAAAAACATTGAGTAAATGTCATTTCCCAGGATTCTACTGAGCAAACTTGAAACAATTTTATAGTATTCAGCCATCCAATTATGAATAGCAATTGGCAACACATTTTTGTTATCCCACTTTAAAAAGTTATGTAAATAACAGCATCTTCAGCCCATGATTTTTCCCACGTAAAGTCCTATATCTTTGGAAAATTGAGTAACTGGTGATATAATAAAAGCACGTTAGGATTTTCCAGAATGGAAAATTATATTTGCTAAGATCCGTTAAATTACATTTTGTTTTCACAACATCCTTATTCTGTCCAAATGAAAGGGAGTGTGACTGTGATCAGAGATAAATTAAAAACCTTTTGAGTGAGCTTTATTTTCCTCTCTGAAGACACAAGGTTATTTCTTAATATGAAAACCTGATTACATGATAGATAACTCCATTGAGAGTTCTGAGGAAGAGTCAGAACTACAAAGATTTTATAACCAAATTCTTTTGACCAGACACCCTGTTCTGTTGCAAATAGAAAGGATCACTTTTGAAAAATTCTAATTTATGTTCCTTCAGATTTTTTTGGATATTGGATTTAAACTTTTTTTATTGTAGTTACAATACACAATAGAAAAGTCACCATTTTAACCATTTAAAAGTGGCATTTAGTATATTCATAGTGTTGTGCTATCATCATCATTATCTGGCTTTTTTGCACTTAATTTTTTCATGTATCTATAAATCAGTACTTTATTCCAGTTTATAGCTGAATAACATTCCATTGCATGGATACAACATATTTTTAAATCTATTCATCCATTGATGAATTCATCTGTCTTGGCAATTTCTGCCTTTGGCTATTGCATACATGTTGAACTTTTTTAAAAAAGAAAACTCTACTCCATTGCTCCATTTCCTTAACATAGTGGGAAAATGTCAGTGTAGCATCTTAGATATTTAAAAATCTAGACGGACATTTAGATTTTTTTAAAGATAACTTTATTTCACAGGAGGGCTGGGAAAGTCTGAGAGAGCAGCATGGGTGGAACCATAGTTGTTATGTGACCGAGTTAATAGGTGAGAAGTGATTCGTCTCCCAAGGAAACAAGGAAGAAAGGAAGTCTTAGTGTTTTTGTGCCTTTGGGTTGCCTTCAAGCTCACCCTTCAGTTTACATGGATGGCTCATGGACTGATGGAAGTCTGGAGAGCCAGGCCAGGGCAGGCACCAAGAGAATGTGTGAGATGAGGTCAGATTCCTACTGTGGGAGTGGGCCGCTTAGGAAGCTGCTGTCACCACCTGGGGACCAGTGCTGTGCCGTGAATTTCCAGTTCTACCACTGATGCCTCAAATTAATTCACGGTAACTCTGCACCATTGAGCCATTTCCTCCAGATCCAAGGTCCCTAATAGGAGGGCGTGTCTGGCCACAGCTAGTCATTGACCAACTCCAGCTGTGAGAGGGGGAGGAAGAGGAAAGAACTGTCTTCCTGTAGCTTCTGGAGTGGCGTGTCCACTACACCGGCCTGCCTTTATACCTCCACACATACTCGGCGTCAGAAATTTGAAGTTTAAAAAACAGCCCCAACTAATTCTATTCAGTATCTTCCTCCCATTGTGTTTTGAGCATCTGCTTATAGGCCGTGTACATGGGTAGGCATTGTGTGGAGGATCCAAAGGTGAATAGCATCATCAAAGAGCTGAAGTGGGGAAGACATATGAAAAAACCAGCAAGAACATCAAGTTAGAAAAAATTTCCCGATTTTTTGTCATCTGAGAAGGGTCCATTTATAGCGGAGCACATGGCATTCCTATTAAAATTATATAAGAAAAATATTCAACTCTAACATTATTTTGATACTATAATATAAACTCATAAAATTATTCACTCATTCAGTAAACGTTTATAGAGAAAAGGACTGTGGTGTCCTATCCAAAGTGAACATACCTTAACTCCAAATAGATTATTCATCCACTTGAGGGGGTGTATTTTGAAGCTAGTTTGTTAAAAACGCAGATAGACACCAAATTACATGTTTTGCAAGGATTCTGTGGAGATGCTTTCATGATAGATGCAGTTGATTAAAAACACCTGCACTGAGAGTTTTTCAGACCCAAATTGTGCTGTCCATGTCTAACAGCAGAAATGCTAGGCTCTCGACTAAGTGCTTGTCCTAATGAGAAGATTCAGAGCTCTTCTCCGAATCTGCAAAACATTTTACCCCCATCTGCAGGTATCTCTAAAGTTCACCCCAGCTGGAAGTATGATGACTATTTGATTAGACAAGGGTATAAATCAAGCCCCTAAATTCTCAGGATGGTATATTGACTTTGCTACCTACGTGTCCAGTATCAAAAACATATGGACATTTATTTAATCAACAATGAATCAGAACTTAGACCGCCCTCTGATACTTGCCAAATGCTCCTGAGACATCTGGTATTTGAGGAAGTTGGTCTAGGGGACGTGATTCTCTGTGTCTCTTGGCCTCATAAGCTTATCTCTATAAAAGTTAGATCGTCGGGAAATAGACTGTACTATTTTGGCAGAAATTCCTTTATAGAGTTAGTTGCAATTTGGTTTTATGCCCTGATCTTTTAGAGTTGGTTAGAAGAAGAAGCATCCTTCCAAAGAATGTTTCTGTGTCTTGGCAAAGCCGCAGGCAACCTCTATTATATTACCTACTAGTCCCTGATACAAGGATTTACATTGTAATGTTTTCCTCAAGTCTACTCCCAGGACAGAGTTTCTAACTTCAGATTTCGTTTGTCATGTAAGAACTGCTTAATCCAGGATGGTTTCCTATTTGATTGATTTCCATGCAGTTCGAAGACAGATTCAGTCCTCTGTAATAGTAAATCTAGCCCAGGTTTCTGGTCCTGTACATGTAAACCATGGAAGGGAAGCTCAAAACTTTGCAGTTTTTTTTTTTAAAATTAAGATATATTCATATAAAAATCACTGTTGAAAAGTGTACGAATCAGTTGTTTTTAGTATGTTCACAAAGCTGTGATCATCATCGCTGTCTAATTCCAGAACATTTTCATCACTTGCAAAAGAAACCCTATGCTCTTTAGCACTCACTCCTCATTTCTTCTTTCCCCTAACTCCTAAACAATACTAATTTACTTTCTGTCTCTATGCATTTGTCTATTGTGCACATTTCACATAAATAGAAGCCTATGCAATATGTGCTTTCTTGATTTGGTTTCTTTCACTTAGTTTTTAAGGTTCTTTCACAGTGTCTTTAAGGCTCATCCGTGTTGTAGTAGGTATCAGTACGTCATTCCTGTTTATGCTAAATAATATTCTGCTGTGTAGATAGAACCACAGCATTTTGATTATCCATTCGTGAATTCATGGACATTTGGGTTGTTTCCACTTTTGGGCTATTATGAATAATGCTGCTATGAACATTCATGTGCAAGTTTTTATGTGTGAATATATATTCTTTCACTTCTTTTGGATATATACTTAAGACTAGACTTACTGGGTCAAATGGTAACTCTATGTTTAATTTTTTGATTAACTACCAATCTATTTTCCAAAGGGCTGCACCATTTTATACTCCACCAGCAATATGTAAGAGTTCCAATTTCCCCATATTTTTGTTATTGTCCTTTTTTTTTGATTATGTGTACTCAATGTGTTCAACAATGATATTGCTCATTTTTTCATCTGGGTGACCAAGAGAGTGAATATATAGAGAGAGGATAAGAAGACCAAGGGCTGAACCCTAACATTAGGAAGATGGAGGAAGTGAAGTAGCAAGGCAAAGGAGGTGAAAAAGAACAAGCAGTGGGGTAGGAGTTTGTGACAGCCTGGAGCCCAGGTGAGGAAAGTATATCAAGGAAGAAGTGATGTCAGTTATAGAAAATGCTGCTGAGAAGTCAAGTAGTAAAATCAGGACTGAAAATGACCGTTGGTTTCAGCAATATGTGTCATTGACATGAGCAGATTCAGTGGAGTGAGGGGGCAAAAGCCTGAGAGATAATAGGAAGAAAGAAACAAAAGACAGTAAGTATAGAGCTTTTTTTTTTTTTTTTTGAGGAATTTAGCTGAAAAGAGAAGCAATGAAATACAGGCAGTGACTGGTGAGGGAAACAGGGCTAGGAGTCCTTTGCTGCTTCCATTTCCCTAAAAGCTCTCGCTGTCCCATGACTGAATTTCTAACAGAGCCCTCCCTGCCGTAGTACAAACATTATGTTCAGCTGCTACAGACTGAGTGCTTATGTGCCTCCCGAATTCAGATGCTAAATCCTAATCCCCCATGTGATGGTA